GCTCGAGACCAGCCTGGCCAACATGATGAAACCTGACCTCTACTAAAAATACAAAAAATTAGCTGGGTGTGATGGCCTGTGCCTGTAATCCCAGCTACTTGGGAGGCTGAGGCAGGAGAATCACTTGAACCTGGTAGGCAGAGGTTGCAGTGAGCCGAGATTGCACCTCTGCACTCCAGCCTGGGTAACAGAGCAAAGACCCTCTCAAAAAAAAAAAAAAAAAAAAGAAAGAAAAAAAATTTTTTTGGCTGGCTGGTTGCGATGGCTCACGCCTGTAGTCCCAGCACTTTGGGAGGCCGAGGCGGGCGGATCACGAGGTCAAGAGATCGAGACCATCCTGGCCAACATGGTGAAACCCCATCTCTACTAAAAATACAAAAAATAGCTGGGCATGGTGGCACGTGCCTGTCGTTCCAGCTACTCAGGAGGCTGAGGCGGAAGAATCGCTTGAATCCAGGAGGTGGAGGTTGCAGTGAGCCGAGATTGTGCCACTGCACTCCAGGCTGGCGGTAGAGCAAGACTCTGTCTCAAAAAATAAATAAAAAATAAAAAATTTAAATGTTTTAAAATTAGTATGTCATAGTACCTTCCAGTTAGAGTTATGTGAATCTACATACATGGTAAATGTACCTCTGAAGCACTTGAAGATGTAGTCCTTTTTTCCCTTCTTTTGAATTGCATTATATCCATTTTGGTGTAAAGGTGAAATTCTCATACATGACCTTTCCTGAATTATATATGTTCCAAGTGACAGAGGCAGAAATATATATGTCTGAGAAGAGCATCCTTCACTCTTTCCCTTCTTGCTTCTACTTTCTACATTTTTTTGACGGAGTCTTGCTCTGTTACCTAGGCTGGAGTGCAGTGGTGTAGTCTTGGCTTACTGCAATCTCTGCCTCCCAGGTTTAAGTGATTCTCCTTCAGCCTCCCAAGTAGCTGAGATTACAGGCACCTGCCACCACACCTGGCTAATTTTTGTGGTTTTTAGTAGAAGTGGGGTTTCACCATGTTGGCCAGGCTGGTCTCGAGCTCCTGACCTCAGGTGATCCACCCACCTCAGCCTCCCAAAGTGCTGGGATTACAGGTGTGAGCCACCATACCTGGCCTGTTTTTTGTTTGTTTGTTTTTTAAACCGGATCTCTCTCTGTCACCCAGGCTGGAGTACAGAGGTATGATCTGTACTGCAACCTCTACCTCCTTGGCTTAAGCAGTCTTCTCACCTTAGCCTCCCAAGTAGCTTGAACCATAGGCATACACCACCATGCCCAGGTAATTTTTTCATTTTTTTGTAGATACGGGGTCTCACCATGTTGCCCAGGTTGGTCTCAGATTCCTGGACTCAAGCAATTCACCCACCTCGGCCTCTCAAAGTGCTGGTATTACAGGCGTGTACCCATCATTTCTTTTTAATGATTAATTCAAATGCTGCCAGGATAAAGACTGTTGAAATGTTCTTGACTGAAAATGTTAATTTCTTTGTAGCACTGCTATGCTCTAGTTTTACTGCCTCCCATTTTCACTTGTAATTTTTCAATCAGCATTATTGAGGCATCATTTGCGTACAACATAGCTCACCTGTTTTAAGTATGCAAGTCTGTGACAACTGTGTATTATTCAGTAGTATAACCACCACCAAAGTCAAGATTTAGAATATTTCCATTGCTTCAAAAAGTTCCCTCATGCCCTTTCCGGGTGGCGTTCTAATTGATGCATACATATATGCACTGATACTTTTGTGATCTTCATCTTACAGGGAAGAAAACATTGGTAATTTCTTTTTAACAGCATAAAAATGCTGTTTACCTTCAGGCGTAGAGACTGTTACTTCAATATTATTTTTTTATATTTTTCTATAGAGGATCGGAAGCTACAGACAAGCTCAAATGTAATAGACAATGATATGGTGGAGTTTAATTGTTGTTACCTATTTTTATGAAAGTATACAATGTAAATAGCTGGAAATTATTATCTATCACAAGCTTTTCAGTTTAAACTGGGCCTCCTCAAATTATTGTGTATTTAGGAACTAAGAATTTTAAATAACATTTGAAGTGTGCTTCAATGCCATGTGTGGAAACTGTATTAAAAAAACAAGATGTGCCTCTTGGAAGTATTGCTGTGCTTTCAGGACTCTGATGCAGGCTGTACCATGTGTCCTAAGAAGGAAAGGGCTGAGTCTGGAAATGGTTGGCGGGTTGTTTTTGTGGATGAAAAACCTTTTACCCATGTATGCAGCCAGTACCGAGCCTTTTTGTGTTTTAAAGGTCACAAGTAAAGGCAGGTTGCTCTTCAGATTAAAACAAAAGGATGCTCTAGAAACTTGTGACTTCCACATTTACATTAGAAGAATTTAGATGTTTTCAAATAAACAGATCTTCCACCCATATAGTAGATGTTCAAAGTTCTGTGTAACAACAATGATAGTCTCTAATAATTGTGTGGCCTCACTTGCAGAACATTGTTCTAAATAATGAGCCCTTTGGGAGAACCCTCTAAATTATTTTTTTGGAATATTGTTTATTCACACCAGCTCTTTAGTCCTGAGTTTCCATCCCTTTGCTATCCAGACATTTCTGGGCCGTTTTTTACTGAGCCAGGTGCCATGGCTCACGCCTATGGTCCCATCGCTCTGGGAGGCCAGTGCAGGTGGATCACCTGTGGTTGGGACTTCAAGACTAACATGGCCAGCATGGTGAAGCTTGTCTCTACTAAGAATGCAGAAATTGTCCGAGCATGGTGGTAGGCGCCTGTGGTCCCAGCTGCTTGGGAGGCTGAGCTATAAGAATCGCTTGAACCTGAGAGGCAGAGGGTGCAGTGGGCCAAGATCCTGCCACTCCACTCCAGCCTGGGAAACATGCTAAATTCTGTCTCAATAAATAAATAAAAATGCAGAAATTGGTCAGGCATGGTGTCACATGCCTGTAGTTCCAGCTACTTGGGAGGCTGAGGCAGGAGAGTTTCTTGGGCCTGGGAGGTGGAGGCTTCAGTAAGCGGAGATCACATCACAGCACTCCAGCCTGGGCGACAGAGTGAGACTCCATCTCCAAACAAACAACAAAAAAACCTCAATAACATTTCCTGTTTTCTTTAACTGTATTGGCCAAAGTTGAAATATCCCTCCTGAATATTCTGTATGAAAACACTGGATATCAAGAAAAAAGGAAAATTCAGGCAGTTGGTTACACTTTTAGTGTTGTCTCTAAAAAGTCATAGCCAAGACCACCTAGGTTTTCTCCTATGTTATCTTCTAGAAGTTTTACAATTTTGTATTTTATATTTAGACCTATGGTCCATTTGGAATTAATTTCTGTGGAACATAGAACGTCTGTATCTAGATTCGTTTTTGTGCATGTGGATGTCCAGTTGTACCAGCATGAAATCTTAATTTTTATGTGAAGACTCTTGATTTTAAAGGTTCATTCAAATCTTTTTTTGGTGGTAGTGGTACTGGAGAAATTACAGCTCTCCCTCCCCTAATACTTGTCTGCAGAATGCATTTATCCATCCTGGATAATCTCTGCCTCCTTTATCCCTCTTACCCGCAATGCTCTTCATCCATCCACCTAAGTTTAATTGATTCTTCAACCAGAAGGAAAGAATTAAGGTTTTTGGTTCTTCTAACACATCTTCTCAATGTGACTATACTCACTTTTTTAAAAAGCTATTTATAAAATATCAAGATATTACATAAAGTTAAAAATTGAAACAAAATTCAGCATCTTAATTCACCAATTACACAATTGAATGGTTTTTTGTTTGTTTTTTTTTTCTTTTGAGATGGAGTTTTGCTCATTGACCAGGCTGGAGTGCAATGGCGCGATCTTGGCTCACTGCAACCTCCACCTCCTGGGTTCAGGTGATTTTCCTGCTTCAGCCTCCTGAGTAGCTGGAATTACAGGCATGTGCCACCACACTCAGCTAATTTTTTGTATTTTTAGTAAAGATGGGGTTTTACCATGTTGGTCAAGCTGGTCTTGAACTCCTGACCTCAGGTGATCTACCCACCTCAGCCTCCCAAAGTATTGGAATTATAGGCGTGAGCCGCCGCGCCCAGACGCTGAGCGGTTTTTGATATATTCACAATGTGCAACCATCACCATTGTCTAATTTGTGAATGTTTCAGAACTCCGGGCCATTTTATTTATTTTTGAGACAGTCTTGTTCTGTTTGTTGCTCAAGCTGGAATGCAGTGGCATGACCATGGCTCACTGCAGCCTCACCCTCCTAGGCTCAAGCGATTCTTTCACCTCGCTGGGACTATAGGTACATGGTACTACATCAGCTATTTTTTTTTCTTTTTTTTTTTAACTTTGTGTAGAGACAGGGTCTCACTATGTTACTTAGTCTGGTCTTGAACTCCTGGCTGGGTTCCAGTGATCCTCCCTCTTTGGCCTCCCATGGACTATCTTAAATGCTTTTTAAGAATTGCAGAGCAGTTTTTATGGTGATCACCACCACCACCAGGCACTGAGCTAAATGGTTTACATTATCACTAATTCTCTAATACTGCATTGTACAGAAGAAGTGTTTGATTTTAGAACACATCTGGTGATAGCTTGATTTTAGAGGAAACTGAGGCCAGAGAGGCTAAGTAAATCTTCAAAAGTCACGCTACCTGTTTCTTGGTAGAGCCAGGACGCAGACCCACTTCTTTTTTACCCCCGAGTCTGCTCTTTGCATACTACACTACTGCTAATCAGTAATCATCAGGTAAGTTTATGCAAACTCCACATACCACCTTCCTAAGCCTTATTTAAAGTATTTGGTTCATCAAGTTACTCTCCTGATTCTATATATATATATATATATATATCTCCGATCTCACCTCACTGCAAGCTCTGCCTCCTGGGTTCAAGTGGTTCTTGTGCCTCAGCCTCCCGAGTAGCTGGGACTATAGGCACCAGCCACCGTGCCTGGCTAATTTTTGTATTTTTAGTAGAGATGAGTTTCACCATGTTGGCCAGGCTGGTCTGGAACTCCTGAGCTCAGGTGATTCACTCACCTTGGCCTCCCAAATTGCTGGGATTGCAGGTGTGAGCCACTGTACCTGGCCTTAATATGATCTTTTTATTTTTTTTTGAGATAGAGTCTCACTCTGTTGCCAGGCTGGAGTGCAATGGCACAATCTTGGCTCATTGCAACTTCTGCCTCCTGGGTCCAAGTGATTCTCCTGCCTCAGCCTCCCGAGTAGCTGGGACTACAGGCTCGCACCACCATGCCCAGCTAATTTTTGTATTTTTAGTAGAGATGGGGTTTTACCATGTTGGCCAGGATGGTCTTGATCTCGACCTCATGATCTGCCTGCCTCGGCCTCCCAAAGTGCTGGGATTACAGGTGTGAGCCACCGAGCCTGCCCAATATAGTCTTTTAAAACTTCATTTTGATTATTGGAAAACAACATTTAACATTCATTGTTTTATTTTAACCTTTAACTGAAGTTGTTTTTCTAACTCATGTAAGTAATGTTTTTTATTATAACCAAGCTGCTTGAAAACGGCTTATCAATTCTTTGGCTGAGCGTGGTGGTGTGAGCCTGTAATCCCAACACTTTGGGAATCCGGGGTGTGTGGATCACTTGGCCTCTCCATCCCTGTGCCTTTACTTTGAACTCACTTTGCTTAAAGAAGCCCCTACACTACTCAAACAGCTTCCTTCATTTCTTTACTCTCTCCCTAATACTGTTTCACTCAGGTTTAACTATTACTATCTTAAGTTTATATAAGTTCTTTATAGCTTTCAAAATTTAAAATTGTTTCATAATTAAGATTTTAAAAGTAATGATGAAATAAAAGAGTCATCTTTTTTTTTTTTTTAATTTTTAGAGATGGGTCTTGGCACACTGCACCCTCCATCACCCTGGCTCAAGCGATTCTTCCACCTAAATGTCCCGAGTAGCTGGGACTACAAGCCTGTGCCACCATGGGCAGCTAATTTTTGTAGTCTTCTGTAGAGACAGGGTCTGTGTTGCCCAGGCTGGACCTGAACTCCTGGACTCAAGTGATCCACTTACCTCTGCCTCCCAAAGTGCTGGGGTTACAGGCATGAGCACCATGCCCAGCCTACATTTTTTACTTTTTCAGTGTGTTTATTATAGTAGTCTCCCCTTATCCAGGGTCATATATTCTAAGATTCTCAGGGGATTCCTGTACTGTTGATAGTACCAAATCCTATGTCTATGCTATTTTTTTCTATACGTGTATAACCATGATAAAGTTTAATTTATAAATTAGGCACAGTAAGAGAATAACAACAATAACTAATAATAAAGTAGAACATGGCTGGGCAGGGCGACTCACAACTATAATCCTTGTGTTTTGGGAGGTCAAGGCAGGAGGATTGCTTAAGTCCAGGAGTTTGAGACCCCCCTAGACAATATTATAATGAGACCTTGTCCGTACAAAAAAAGTTTAAAAATTAGCTGAGTATGATGGCATGCACCTGTAGTCCTAGCTATTTGGGAGGCTAGGGTGGGAGAATCGCTTGAACCTAGGAGTTTGAGGCTACGGTGAACTATGATTGAGCCATGACTCCCTAGCCTGGGCAATAGAGCAAAACCATGTCTCCGAAAAAAATAAAAACTTAAAAATAAAGTAGAATACTAATAACAATATACTGTAATGTAAAATGAAGGTTATTTGAACATTTGAAGGTTATTTGAACATAAGCACCGCCATACTGCATCAGTTGATCTGATAGGCAAGACGGCTACTAAGCAACTAATGGACATATTGCTTATATAGCATGGATGTGCTGGAGAAAGAGATGATTCACCTCCCTGGAGAGGAGTATAATTTAAAACTTGTGAATTGTTTATTTCTGGAATTTTTCATGTAACATTTTTGGAGTATGACAGGGAGTAACTGAAACCATGGAGACCAAACTGTGGCTAAGGGGAGACTACTGTACTTGATGCATTTTCCTTTTAGGAATTCTGCTAAGTAATTTTTCATTTGTTACACGTGTCTTACAAAGAATAGATAAAACCATGTACATTTTAGGAATAATAATAAAAGAGACATGTATGCTGGGACTGTGATGTTCAGTACGGTACTGTTATGCAATCCACTTGTGGCTGTTGAACACTTGTAATGTGGCTGGTGTGAATTCACATGTGATGTATGTCAAAAAACACAAAACAGATTTTGAAACCTGGTATGAGGAAAATAATGTGACATATTGCAATATACATGTATTTTTTTTGAGACAAGTTCTAGCTCTGTCACTCAACCTGGAGTGCAGTGACATGATCTCAGCTCACTGCAACCTCTGCCTTCCAGGATCAAGCCATCCTCTCATGTTGCCCAGGCTGGTCTTGAACTCATGAGCTCAAGCAATCCACCGGCCTCAGCCTCCCAGAGCGCCGGGATTGTAGGCTTGAGCAATTTTGCCTGATTCAAGATAATACAATAATTTTTATATTGTTACCATGTTGAAAATTTTAGATGTTTTGTGTTAAATAACGTTATTAAAATTAATTTCACCTCTTTCTACTTTTTAAAAAATGCCTACTAGGCTGGGTTCAGTTGCTCATCCTGTAATCCTAGTGCTTTGGGAGGCCAGGGTGGGAAGATTCCATGAGGCCAGGAGTCTGAGACCAGCCTGGTCAACATAGTGAGACCCCATCCCTACAAAATTTAAAAAAAAAAAAATTTAATGACTGGGCAGGGTGGGAAATGTGTCTGTAGTCCTAGCTACTGGAGAAGCTGAAGGGGGAGGGTCGCTTGAGCCCAGGAGTTCAAGGCTGTGTGAGCTGTGATGGTGCCACTGCAGTCCAACCTGGGTGAAGGAGCAAGACCCTGTCTCTTAAAAAAAAAATGCCTACTAGACAACTTACCGTTATATATGTGGCTTGTACTTGTTATTCACATTGTGTATTTCTGTTAAACAGCACTGCCTCCACAGTTGACCAGGTATGGTGGTTCACACCTATAATCACAGCACTTGTGGAGGCTGAGGAGGGAAGATGGCTTGAGCCCAGGAGTTACAGATCAGCCTGGACAACAAAGTGAGACCCCACCTCTACAAAAAATAAAATAATTAGGTGTGACACATGCCTGTAGTCCCAGCTACTTGGGAGGCCGAGGCAGGAGGATCCCTTGAGTCCTGGAAATCAAGGCTGCAGTGAGCTGTGTTCATACAACAGAGCAAGATGCTATCTCAGAAAACAAAAAAAGAAAAACCCTCAACCCCTCTATACCCACCAAATAATCACTATCCTGATTGATGTATTTATTCCCTTTTGTCATTTTATTTCCTATGCATATATGTCTAAATAATGCATTGTTTAATTTTTTTTTTTTATGAAAATAGGAAGCACAGACTTCATGGCTGTGTAAACAAAGGACTCTTACGTCACTTTCAGATGCAGTTCCTAAAATATGAGCTGAACGGAATCTCAGGGTCAAGTCTGGATTCAGCTTCCCTGTGAATTTTTAAGAGCCTCCCTGGGGAAGTTTGTGAGCAGAGTCATGAGTGGAATATGGGAAACCTAGGGCTCACACTGGAGTAAGGGTGCCTGGAACACTGTAAAACCATTGCTCTCAGAGTGCTGGAGATCTGGAGGAATATGATCAGAGAGAGTTAGTTGCTCTGGTATTTTCTGCTTTTAAGTTCAGTATGACCTACCTTCTTTTATCCTTTTTAAAAAATTATTTTATCAAAATTGGTATCCCATTCCAGACCTACCTTTTTACAGGAGTAAGTCAAAGCAAAGCACATCACCTCTGTCAGCTCTAGTAAGTGTCCTTAACTGGTCACAGCAGTGGCGAAGGCTTATATGGGCATTCTGCCCTCAGTCTCTTGGTGATGACTATCCTCAGAATGTCTGTCTCTTGAATCTAGACTGATTGTCCTCTATCTCCATTGTACTGCTTTCATGCTGACTTCTATGTTCATCCTCAGTTGTGAGGGGCCTCTTTTTTTTGGGGGGGGGGTTCTTTTTCAATTTTTCTGTTTTCCTGTTTCTTAGTTTATGGTCTCTTATTGTGGATAACAGGGTCCTTGCTTGTTTGAAGTGTCTTTATTCTACCATCATACTTTATTGTAAGTTTTTCTTGTTTTAGAGTTTGAAGTTAGAGATCATTTTTATTAGGAAGGCCTTGTTTCATTGTCTTGGTTTAAATGTTGCAGTTGAAATCTCTGAAGTCATTCTGTTTCCTGATCTGTTTGTGACCCTTTACCCTCTTTGGAAGTTTGTAAAATCTTCTTTGTCTCCATGTTTTGGTATTTATCTATGATGTAACCTAGTTTAGGTCCACAGTCATTTCTTATGCCAGGTACTTGCCAGCCCTTTTCAGTATGACAGCTATGTCCTTCATAAGGAAATTTTCTTGTATTTATTGATGACTTACTTTCTTGTGTTTTTTCCATTCTCTTTCTGGAACACCTACTATTTGGATGTTAGAAAATGATCCTGTTACCTTATTTTCTTATTGTCTCTTTTGTCTTTTTGGTCTGCCTTCCAGAAGATTTCCTCTACTTTATCTTCAAAGCCTTTTATTGAATCTTAATTTCTGCTATCAGATATTTCACATAGAGCTCTTCTTGTGTGTGTGCTACAAATGTTCTCTTTTGTTAGTATCCTCTTGTTTATTGGGTGCAGTATTTTTATCCAAGAATCTAGCCGATAGGTTTTTTTTTTTTTTTTGAGATGGAGCTTCACTCATGTTACCCAGGCTGGAGTGCAATGGCACGATCTCGGCTCACCGCAACCTCTGCCTCCTGGGTTCAGGCAATTCTCCTGCCTCAGCCCCCTGAGTAGCTGGGATTACAGGCACGCACCACCATGCCCAGCTAATTTTTTGTGTTTTTAGTAGAGACGGGGTTTCACCATGTTGACCAGGATGGTCTCGATCTCTTGACCTCGTGATCCACCCGCCTCGGCCTCCCAAAGTGCTGGGATTACAGGCTTGAGCCACCTCGCCCGTCCTAGCTAATAGATTTTTTACCTTTTTACATCTTTTCAGAGGAAATGGGGACTGCAACTGAAATGCAAAAGTCAGAATTTATCTTGGCTCAGCTTTTCATTTAAGAA